CTGTTCTCCTTAACAATCTGCTTAGCTGCAAATGAAAACATGCTCTTCTGCCTGTGTAGGAAGACAAAGTATGACAAAGCCTGAATCACACATGAACTTAGGGTCACCAGCCACAAAGAGGAAAGCATGCCCTAGTTACCTTTTGCAGCTGCACATTTCAGCTTGCAGTCAAATGCAACTTAATATTGGCTTTTTAGGTAAAATACTATTCTTTCTGCAGGGTGGAGTGACTGTACTTATGAAAGTACTTGTTAACTCTTCTTAACTGTGTCTTGGTTAACAAGACACTGGTAACTTGTCACTAGGGTACAGTAAGGCAGAGAAAGTCTGGATGATGCAATTTCTCTCCTGTGTATTGCTGACTTTTGACTAAGATTCCTCAGTTGGCTGCAGGGTTATGTCTACAGCTTTGTGTTGGGCTGAATTATTTTATTCTGGGAGATAGGGGAGGAGAGAAATCGTCTTCCACACCTCTTGTTCAGATGATATAATACCATTGCTGTTAGATACTCCTTAGTTGACTCTCAACACCAAAACTTTGTTAACACAAATTTTGATTTCATTGTGTTTGCTTCTGACAGGAGGAAGGTTGGGGCAATGAGAGCAAAGCAGCAACATGAGATCCACCCCTAAATGCACTTGATTCTATCTCATTCCCTGTATCTGGTCATGTAGTCTGTGGTCCCTGAGATCTCCAGAGCCCTACACTTCAGGTAGCATCTGTAAAACCACTCTGGTGAGCAGACCAGAAAGTGCTGATTGTTTGGGGTTTTTTTTCTTAATTGCTGTTAAGCCCTTCTGGCTTGGCAATGGTTTTGATACTCAAATATGTTGAGACCTTTATCTTCTGGGAACTGTCTTCTAGTCTGTGCAGCGCTCTGGGCTGTAGTGAGGTTTCAAAGTCATCTAGGAGCATAATGAGATTGGCTTTTTTGGTGGTTTTTGTTTGTAGAGTGTCAATGGAGAAACTGTATGTTTTTTTCAGTGAGATAAAATCCTTTATTTTTATTTCAGTAGCATCACTAACTCAGCAAATTTTTCCTTTCTTGCAGAATTATAATCCTATTCTTTTTGAATTCAAAAAGTATAGCAGCACAGTAAGTGCATTCCACTCTATTCCACAACCACTTATTTCCTTCAGTAACAGCAAGAAACATTCTTAGTTGTAACACAGTAGCTTAGTTTATTTGGAAATATGTTTAACCTTGCTGAAAAGATTCAGTAGGCCTAGGGGAAGGTACAAGAGAACCACTTGCTGGTAGAATTGGGGAGTGGTACAAATAGCACTTCAGCACTTTTGTTTTCTCAGTAGACCAAGATCCTTTCCTGAATATAGCCATGTTTACCAGTTCATAGAGGAAACTGTGTGTCAAATCCACCTTAAATTTTCTTCTTTTTCTGATGACTCGCCTTCTTTCCGAAGTGGTAACAGCCAGGATTTCCAGAAGAGATTTTGGGTGCTTCAGTCAACCGATGTTGCAGACAGTAACAGATATGTGAAAATTAGCTCTGAAATGATGCCAGTTACTTGATGTAATCGCCTAAAGATACTTGTCTAATATTTTCTGCTGATTTTACATATGGGGATTGCATAATGTGCTATGTTCATAGGATCATGGAAGTTACAAAGCCCCTCATTGTACTTGGGAATACTCAGTGGTTTAGTCTCCTTTTTTTTTTTTAAAAACAAGGACCAAGATTTTTACATGCTTAATTTCTTCCTAAGTTTAATTTGTTTAATTACAACCATTATGTTTGAAGTAAGCCATTAGGGCTCTGCTGTGTTCTGGATGGACAATGCTGTAAGCCAGTGTTGAACAGAGTTGAGAATCTGATCTCAAGAGTCAAAAAAAAAACCAGGACTTCACTGCTAAGCAGCATCACTGACCCCCTTCTCAAAGGAACTGCTGGTGCACTGCAGGCAAGCTGTTCAAACCCACCCAAATAAAAACGGAACTGAAGCATTTGCTAATTCAAAACAAACTCACACAAAGAAAACCTTTCAGCTGAGCCAAGTTAGAACTTCTGAAAATGAAGTTCGCTCTCATTGCCCTCATTTCAGCTGGGATAGAGTTAATTTTCCTCCTAGTAGCTGGTTCAGTGCTGAGTTTTGGATTTAGCATGAGAATAATGCGATAACACACTGATGGTTTAGTTGCTAAGCAGTGCTTACACTAGTCAAGGACTTTTCAGCTTCCCATGCTCTGCCAGTGAGGAGGTGCATAAGAAGGTGGGAGGGGGCACAGCCAGGACAGCTGACCCAAACTGGCCAAAGGGACATTCCATACCATGTGATGTCATGCTCAGTATATAAACTGGGGGGAGTTGGCCAGGGGGGCAGTGATCGCTGCCCAGGGACTGACTGGGCATCAGTCAGCAGGTGGTGAGTGGTTGCATTGCTTGTTTTTCCTGGGTTTTGTTTCTCTCTCTCTTCTTGTTGTTTTCCTTTTTGTTATCATTTTTTATTATTATTTTATTTCAATCATTAAACTGTTCTTAACCCACAAGTTTCCTCACTTTTGCTCTTGCAATTCTCTCCCCCATCCCACCAGGGGGGAGTGAGTGAGCAGCTGTGTGGGGCTTAGTTGCCGACTGGGGTTAAACCATGACACTCATTAATACTGCTGTAGTTCAAGTCCCTTTGGGGCACTGGCTACCAGTGCTAACTGTATATTAATATTACACATTCACACTTGCTGTGTTTTCTCCTCTTCATTTTAATTAAAGGAGGGGGCCCTGTAGCCTAGTCATGAGTGTTGCATCCCAGAAGTGTCTAGCTCTGTTTCCTGTTAGTGAAATTTTTTTCATACAAACCTGCATTCTACCAATTTCACTTTCCTTTTCAAGGGACTGTAGATTCTGTGCAGCATGCAGGGATCACCCCAATCATCAGCACAGCCTGGCTTAGATGCTAATGTGCCTAAGTCACCTCTTGCCTTACAAAAACTGTGTGAAGTCCTTCAGGACCCTTTACTTAGCAGCATTCACTATACTTGGTTTTAACAGTTCATCCTCCTAAGGCTTTAAGTTTGGTGCTTCACTACAGGCTTTTTCCTAACTTCCATGTGCCTTTGTTAATGGCACTGAACATCTCCCTCTTGTCTTAAGATACTGATAATTCCTGATGTCTTAATTGGGTACCAGCAAATTCAAGAGGCTGTTGAATTTTACAGAAGCCAGTGGGCACTGCTTTCCCTTCAGTGTGTATTCTCCCTTAAAAGCAGTTTTCCCTATAACTTTGTTAATGTACACAGGTGCTATACAGAGTCCAACCCATACCAGATAGAGTAGTTATTGACAGCTACAGAGCTTAATGTGCTGTTGTATGTATCAACAAGGATGCAATAACTGTATGTGACTATTCAGCCTTTGGATATGTTTTGTCCTCTTTCCTGTGTCTTTGGTCAAAGTAATTAAAGTGCTTCATGTCTTAGTGGAAACCTTTTGTGGTTTCTTCCTCCTTGATACTTAAACCTTAAGGAACTTAGTGACATAGGTTCTTTGTCTCAAGTGAGTCTGCAATACTGAAACAAATGATTCTGGAAATGCAAATGTTTTTCATTGAATCAGTCCGATGCTAGGGATTAGGTTTTATTTGTACAAGAATAGTCTACCTCCTTCAACCTTAATGAGATACTTACTCTCTCTTAAAAATACTACTGTTTATCCTTTTTGAGTAACTGCTGTCAATTTTTTCTCCTTTCCTACAACTGTGGTTCCTTTGTATATATGTGCACGCTTCACTTAGCTTCACAAAATGGAAGTTCCTCAAAAAAAACCTTTATTTTAGGAACTTTTTGCTATCTGTTTGTTATTTCTAAGCCTGAGACTTTCACATTAGATCCATGTACATTTATTTTACTATTTACACCTATCACAGTACATTTATATGGAATACCATCACATGGACAAACCAGCTACTGACAGCTAATATAAAGATATTAGATTCCACAAGGCTTAATCTGCATAGAGACCAGAAACACGTTTAATGGTGAAACACAGATAAGTCTTCCTGTATTTCCCGTAATTTTAAACCCATTTTGTGTAGAATGTGATCATCCTACCACAAATACCTACTTCTGTATTTGTATATTTGTCTTGTGGTCAATTTCTCTTGGGTGGCTAGTGTCTTCCTATGCTTAATAGTTTATATTTCTTATGGTCATGAAATATGCAATTAATAGTTGTTTTAAGCATTGTTTAAATATTAGTTAAATTTTGTTTGTCTTCCACTCTCCTCCCAGCAACCTACCAGTGATACATAATCTTATACTGCATGTAACTTCTAATAGTGGACAAAACTCTCTGGGTGAATATTTCTCTGGCTCCATGTGAAGTGGAGATCTGAAAGAGAAATGACACAGCTTTGGACTACATCATCTGTTTGCAGATTAGTGTAGCTGTGCTTGCTAAAGCTTTACCAGATATTTATTTTCCCTGGTACAAGCAATACTCATTTGACTTCGGTAATTCAGAAATCATATGGGATATAAAAATCTATCTCTACTTGCAGCATCCTTGTCACTGATCCTCATTCTTTAGGAAGAATTGGAAGTGAAACTCCACAGCAAAGTAGTTGAACATCATACTAGTTTGGTAAGTATTTTGTATGCAACATCAGTTATCCTAAAGTTGCTTCATCTATCAGTTGCGCCATATACAGCATTATTACTTGTGGCCTTTGTTTTGAAAAGTAGCCAAAATAGGGTATTTCAGCAACTTTTGAGTGCTGTTTGTCAAGGGGGGGAAAGTGTACAACAAATTCTTACAAAGTGATGGCCTATCAAAATTGCTGTTTTGTACCTCCCTGGATGAAATATACCTGCTTTTCATTCACTTTTATCACTGGGGTGTTTTTGACTCTACTACAGATCTTTTCTGGTCACTGGACAGCCACTATATAGATTTCTTTTGTTTTTAGGCATGCGTGTTGAGTGATCCATGCAACAGTGAAGAACCTGCCATTGTACATTCCATATATTACTGTTGTACCAGTTGCTCTTGATTCCATTAGCAGGACGCTGTTAGTTCCCCTCACCCTACAGTTTCATTCAATGAAAACATTTGAAAAGACAAACATGGTAGAGAGCCCAGAGCTACATGATGTTGCATTGTGTGGCCCCACAACAATCTTTAATAATAGCCAATCCTGCTTTGGCAATGGTGGGCTTGCTTGGAGGAGGTTCTACCTTCTTTTCTGCTGGGCTGCCTGCAATGTTCAAAACAGGACACCATTAAAACCAAGAGCTGGTCAAACTATTTCTTCCTACTTCTGGCTTAAAGAATGCAAGCCTTCCCTGCCCTCTCACCCCACTCTGACTTCTTTAACTCTTGTTTGAACAATACATCTAACACTTTGGAAGTAACCAAGCTGGTATGTGGATTCAAACTAAGGAGCTGAAGAACAAAAATACTGCTAGAGTTTATTCTCTTATCAACTTGGATGTTGTAATTAGGAGAACAAGGTAAAGGTAGGTTTTAATTTTTCAGGGTGAAAAGAATCTTGTATCTCTAACATTGCATTTAAAAGCAATGACATGAAGTAAACTAACAAGGAGATGAGTCATGCTCCCTGTGACTAAAAGGGTATAAATAATTAGTGACGCGTCTTAAAATGTCAAACTTGTACTTGAACTTCAGTCATTCCACATCCCTCTGGAAACTCTTTAGCAAGATCTTGATCTATGCAAAATGGCAGTGTGTTTGGATACAAACCTCTTCAGCTGGTGGACCAAATTTACTTTCTAAGAAGGGCACTGCTCACTTGACTGTCTCCCTGCCTAAGAGCTCAGCTTGAGACAGGTCAAAACCAATCTGTTAAATTTTAGAGCTCATGCTGTAACTGTTTTGTTTGAAAGTTGCAGCTAAAAGCTTCCAAGGGATCATGTAATCTGCTTAGTTTCTGAGAAATTAGTGTGTTTGCAGTTCTGTCTGTAAGTGATTTGGGTTGAGGTGATCGAAAAGCCTATTTATGCTGGTAAGATGTAAGAAATTTGGGGCAGCTGTGGGAGTTTGCAGTCTTTTCTCTAGTTTACATCTTGCCTGCAGTAAAAACAGGCAAACTTTGCTTCAGATATCCTAGCATATATCTTAAACAGGGTTGTTTTTTTTTCCAGTGACTTTTGCAGAACCAGATGGGAAAATGATTGGTAAAATTAAATCTAGTTGCTTAAAAAAGCAGGTTGTGGCAATTTGAATTCAAATATATTTTGCATATGTAAAACATACAAAGCAATTTTAAAGTGGCCATAGATGACTTGGATTCAGTTTTAAGGCGTAATTAGGCATCTGAATTCTAAGTGGCCAGCAATTGCTGACATGCTATCTTGTTTCAGGGTGACATAGCTAGATTAACCTAGCTTTTGGCAGAGGCTGGCCCAGCACGGCCTTTGAAAATGCTCTTTTATCCAGTTGTCTTTGGAGTTTTTCTGATTTGTTCTTGGTTTTCTTAATGTTTAAGAACTCACTGGTAGGAGACTGTGTTGCTTTGTCTAAGGGTTTTAACTTGGTGCGAAGGAATTCAGCCATCTCTTTGTCTTCTTCTTTCTCTCTGGTGGAAAAAAGGAAAATAAATCTGTTACAGGATAGCTAGGATCAAATCACTAGTAAACAATTCACTTATTTGTTCTTTTTAAAAACACTTAATTTTGCTGCTTATTAAAGACTAAAATATTTGCCTAAATGAAAACAGTAACAAACTTCTTGTAGAATTCAGAGACAGAATTTTCCCCAAGGTTCTTTACTTGTCTCTGATAGCGTTGGATTCATTATATTCCCTAGTCAGTGGGGTTTAAACCATAATGTATCACCTATTTTAAGCTGGCCTCACAAGTGCTGCACGATGCTTCCTCTACAAAGGAAAGCAGAGGATACATATTGCTGTGATTGTACTACTTATTTTTAAAGGCCTGCTTAGACAAAAGACTGGATCTCATGGTCTTCTGCTGTTAGTGTTTATCAAAACCAAGTGTATTTCTCTTTGCCTGAAGATGACAGCATTAGGCCCAGAAGATGACAATTGTGTTGCTAACCTTGATTGTATCTATTGATATTTCCATGCTAGTTTCTTTGCTATTTTTTTATTTAACCATTAACAACAGGCGCACTGATTGAATATCTCAGTTTAGAGGAAAAGCAGACTTCTGAGTTTTGAATCGAGTTTTGAAGAAAAGTTTTGAATCAAGAGTTTTGAAGAAAAGCCTCAGGTTTTACTGCAAATGTGAATTGACACTAATGTATTCACATCTGCACAGTGCATAACAGTACATTTTCAGTAGCCTACAACTAGGTTTCTGTATTGTCTGGTTGCTGATGAGGTTTTTGCAATTTGCACATTGAACTAGCAGTTGAGAGCTCTGGATTACATTACTAGCTTAGGCTTCTTGTCAGCTGCTGACTTTGAACAGCTTTCTTTGATCAGCTGCAGGACTCTAGCAAGCTTTCTTCTCTCCTGTCCTTTGCTTGCTTAGAATTTAATTGTGTTGGAAGAGGTATTGTCATTTAGGATAAATGGATTGATAAGCCTTGAATCTTTACTGTTGAAAGAGACACGGGAAGTAATAGCGAAACTCTGACTATTTGTAGAGTGTTGGGATCTCAGTGCAAGAGCTGGAAATGAACTTTTGAGAAAGACCACAGGTTTCTCAGCAACTTTGGGCTAAGATACTGAGATGAAACCATTCTGAACTCGCTTATGCTTTAGTTTAGGTAGACCTGTGTTGGTGATTGCATTCTCTTCTTTTTTTTTTTACTATGGCAGGATGAGAATAATATTAATGTGGTTGGGTTTATTATTAACTTTTTTTTAAAAAAAAAGACTATTTTAGATGTCTACAAATATGTCCCCTGTAGAATTCCATTTTACGTCTACTTCTCATGCCAAGAGGATCCTCTGGTAGCAGCAAAAATCCTTTTACTTTTTAATGGAAAATGCCCAGACACTTTCTGGTAGGAAAGTAAGAGACCAAACCCCGCTGTAGTCATGAGATGACTGAATCATTAATGGGATAAAGAGCCACAGAAGTGCAGTTTTAATGTTTTTTTCCTGTGGAACCGGGAGGAGGCTTTTAACTTGGTAAGTTGTTTTAAAGGACCAATTCCTCTCTCATTAATGTCGATGTAAATTTTGTCACTTACTTCAGTGTAGTATTAGACTTGTGAAATCTCACAAATTGGTTCAGCTGCTTTTAGTTCTTACCGTAATCTCTCCACCTCTGCATCATCTACAAGAAAATCTCTTTTTTGTACCAGTCTGTGGATCTTCTGAATCAGTTCATCCTCTCTTTGTTTGTCCATCTTTGTTTTTTCTTTTTCTGGTCAAAAACAGAGAAAAGACTATTACTTTGGATTCTAGGGAGCAGGGAGGAGGGTGGAGGGGTGAACATTGCAGATGTCTAAGAATGATTTGCTGGTTGAAGTCAATGGTTCTTCAGACCTGAGTCACCAAAACCCCAGCAAGTTCTGGGTACTGCCTCTTTTCTCTCTTACACTTGCTGCTGTTGCGTCTGATCAGCTTAATGGTCTGGAGACTCTGTGGGGCTTGCCAAGCCTACTTTTAATAATAAATTGCTCTGCAAGGCATTGCTTTGAATTTTTTAAAGAACTTTGGTAAGAAAACAGTCCAGGATGCTTCATTAAAACCCATGGTACAAACTCCCTTTGACCTCATGGGAAATGAGACCACACCAAAAGGAACCATTTCTCTGTATTTCATGACAGCTTTGGGTGTTGACGACAACACTTTTTTCTACTCTAAGGCAGGTGAGCTGCAAATCCACACAAATAGCATCAATTGTAAAATGCAGAAAAATAAATGAAAGTGTTTATTTTCCCTGTGCTTCAAAAATCTGAGTAATTAATATATGTCCTTGTTAATTGGCCAGTCTGTAATGACTAGGTTGTCTATAAATAACCATTTTTGTGACATGAAAGATGTGCCTGTCACAAAGTAAAACTCATGAATGTTAGGGATTACAGAGCTGTAGTTCAAGGTTATAAAGCAAATGTAGTTAAGAGAAATCTTCAAACCTAGCAGATGAAGCAGAGATGAAAGTCAGAGGCAAATCCCAGCCCACATTTCTTCAAGAAGCTGAAAATTTTTATTAGCTGAGAAGACACTTTGCATTAAATCAAGAATTTTGGTTTTGAGCGGTAGAACTGCATTTAGAGAACCATAAAATTTAAGTATAATAAGAGTTGTGGGAGGAAGGGCAAGCTGCCTGCAGTCTGATGCATCTGAGCTATGTTATGTGTGCTGATTGAACTTATAAAATATTTTAAACAGCTAAATAAATCAGACACTTGAAAATAATTGTTTAATACAGCTTAATTTTGGATCGTGGGCTTCAGGATGCTTACTGCTGGGAATTTCTGCAATAAATCCATTCCTTAGTAAGTGAGATAAAAACACCTTGAACATTTTCAAGACAATGAAATTCTGTAAGTCTTACTCTCAGAAAGTCATACTCCTTGGAGAATTTTAAGTTACGGTCTGCCAGTAGCAGAGGAAATAATTTGTAATATAACATAAGGCTGCTTTGTCTGGGATGTATTTTCTGTGTTTTATCTTTTAGAAATGATAAAGGAAGATGGTTATTGACTGCTCTGAAGATGTCAAAACCTCTACATTGTTACCTATGATGAATTCCTGTGATTAATTCTGAATTTGCAGCAGAGAAAAAAAAGAGAATGCCTAGAAGTCACTGCTTTTTCTTGCTTTGCCTCTTATGTCTATGGAGCAAGGGCTCTCTTCCTTTCACTACTGAAGGTAGAACTACTTTATACTTCCTTTCAATCTATCCATCTCCCAGACTGAGATGTGCTCTCCCATTATATCCTTCAGGAAACTGCCTGCCAAATATATGCATCCTGAATTGTGGCAAAGTACTGCATAATTTGTGTACTAAAAGACTGATCCTATGTCTACTGAAATTGGCTAAACCGCCTACTGAAACCAAAGAGCAGGTCTCTATACAAATCTGTATACTAACAGGAAAATTATGATAAAGATGGTATGGAAGTGTTTTTCTAGGTTAGGCACATGCTGTGTCAGCACTTAGTTCTGTGTGAATGCCAGCAGCTTCTTTGTCTTCATTAAGACTAAAAGTGTTTTTTGTTGTGAGTCTCCCAAAAGGTGGTGTGGCTGGAACTGAGCATACTTAATTCATAAGTTTGCTGCGATTTGCCAAGTGCTAAGGAGAAACTGCTGTCTGTGGATCTCTGCTTAAGACTTTGACTGGAAAATAGTTTCTAAAAGGTTTAAAAAAAAAAAAACACCAAAAAAATGAAAACCGATCAACCCTTAACTAAGTTAAAAGTAAGGGTAGGAAAGCTACAGATTAGAAGAGGCGAGGCAAGGGGAATAATTCATAGATATTTTCTAGGATTCATAATCCTTTCCAATACCATTTAAATAAAGAACGTACCAACAGTGTTATTAGAAATTAAAAATGTGACCTATAAGTAACTAAAGTACAAAGAAAGAAAAAGTAAGAACAATTATGAATCCACTTTTGTTGGGTGCAAAGTAAAGTGGAAAAGTTCTTACACAACTAAGAATGTGTGGCCTCAGAGTAGACCCGTTTCCTATTTCATGAGTGACCTTCTCTCTCCTTTCTGGGGGAAAAAGTTGTCCTTCAAAGTTGCACAATAACATGTTGGGGGGAAAAAATGAGAATAACCAAAGGAGAGTCAAAACTTGTCCTTAATAGTTAGGCAGCAGCAAATTATTTCTGAAGGGTGCTAGAGGCCATGCAGTAATATTTAGTGTGAATGGCCCACTGCAGTTGCTGACTGTCTTGCAGGATCTGTCTGTACTTTTTTCTTGAACGGAGTAGGGCTGTTGTGGATGATCTAAAACAGCAAAGCTGTAGTGAAGCAAAATTCCTCCTTGATTTCAGCTAGAGTTTGGAGTTAAGGACTGCAAAACTGCCCACAACTCTGTCCCTCCTTAGAGCACTGATTTTGCAGAGAATTAAGGCAAAACACAAAGCAGACTTTCCCCTTGCTTTTTGTAGAAACCTGTTTTACTTTATTCTAGGAGGTAGATTTAACTACAGGTGTGACAATGAATTGGTATATCTGGGGAAAAAAAACAATCACATTCACAGTGATGGTTATAAATCCCTCTCCTTCCTCCCTTTTATCTCGGGTATCTCAGCATGCTGTCTTTTCTACCTGACAATCTCTGTGCCACTTGGTTCCCTTGAGATTGCCAAGGGAGTGCAAGAACTAAGGAATGTGCACCTTGTTTGAGTGATATTTGCAGGGTTGCTGCCAAGGGAGCAGTGAAATACAGCATGAAAAGAAATTTGGAGACCAGGAGATTAAAGATGGGAAGAAAAATGGGAAGAAAAAAATGACTAGAGGAAAGAGACATGAAACTCAACCTTGGGGGGAGATTTCTGATTGTTAGGGGCAGAGGTATGTTCCTGACACCATCCCCACCTGTGCATCACCCAAGCATTATCCTAATATTGGGTTGGAGATAGCCATTACCTGGGACTGCTACCAAAGTCTGCAGCTCTTTCTTAAGGTTCATAATGTCTTTGCACAGCTGGATGTCATCCATCCTGCAGAAACAGGAAAAGCATGGTTAGAGACATGCAAACTCCATCCTGTGTTGATGGGATCAGCCAGATCTCATCTGAATATACGATACTGTCCCTTGCCTGGGACCTGTGCATCAGCTTGAAATGCAGAGGTTTAATCTTGGGATATTGATACTGTTCATTCACCAATTTTAACAGATAGCAAAAGGTATTTAATACTAAATGCCTGTTGATCCCTTGATTACTTGTCTTACTGGGATCTAATTTGTGTGTAGGTCCTATCTGTCACTGCAGATTATTTCAGATGCCTTTTGCTTTCTTGAATGTCACCAAACATTCTGGAACAGGCATCTGTATATTTAATAGTCATGAAAAAGACAGGTGTGCCATACTGCACATACTGCAGCAACAGTTTTCACTAGGGAAAAGAGCAAGGGTGAGAATAACAGGGAGCCTGGGAAGGGGCAAAAGAAGCTGATAGATTATTTGGCACAGCCAAGACAAGGTTTATATTCTACTACCAACTTTCTTTGTGACCTTACTAATAACTTAGCCCCGATACCAAAGATCTGGAAAGTGTCATAATTTGGCACCTAACTACTCTGAGGTCTTGTGCCTTGGGTGAATGTCTTCCATTGTTGATGTGAGTGCTTCACATCCTTGATGTGTGCAGAAAGTCCATTAATGTTAAGACACAAGACAAATTTAAAAAATAAAATTTGTTTCTGCACCTTCAGTTCTTATTGAAACTGGTACCTATCCTGAGAGCTGCTATACTGAATTATTCTCCTGGAAGCTAGCAAGCTTCAGTGCTGGCTTCCTAGCAAATGTTTTCTCTTTGTCTCAGCTGTATTGGCAGCCAAGGCTCAGGTGTTGGTTCTGAGGGCTGCATCAGGGGCTTCCATTTTGAAATCACGCCCTGAAGAATACAAAAAACACCCTTTGTGATTAATTGTGCATTCTTTAACTTGGATGTCACCAATACTATCCCTGCCCACAGATCTCTGAGTCCTTGTTTCATAGTCCTGCACCTGAAGGGCGGATTGCCTGTTGCCTAAGCACCTGAAGGTAGCTGAAGTGCTATTAGAACATGGGTTGTCACAGTGGTATTTCAAGAGAGGAAACCCAAGAGATTAGAGTGTGTGTATGTGAGAGCAAGCGCACCAAGGATAATGCAGTCAAATTATTGAACTAAGTGAGGAGTGGAAAAAGTAGGTGTTTCTGGCACAAATAAGATTTTAATCACAACCCAAGAGCTTTTATTCTTCCTGCTGCCTCTGCATGGAACACAGGTCTCTGCAGGGAGCTGTCCTTCTGCTGCTTTGCTCATGTTATTAAAATGTGTTGATCCTTTTATTATTTGCTGCTTTGGTTAACTCCGTCTTGCCTGTTCTGCTACTTTCATTGTGCTATCACAGCTATTCCTGCTGCCTTTTTACTTCTCTTCCCCAAATATGACAGTGAAATACCTCTGATAATAATCTTTATTGCTGACCTCTTTTCCCTGTTTAGGTGCCACTGTCACCTCTGCTGGGGATCTGCTCTCCTGCCATACATCTGTCTTATAAGACTTACTTTTATTGGGAAGATCAGCATGCTAGCCTCAGGGCTGGTCCGTGGTTCACTTCTGTATGTGTTTAGGACACTTGGAGGCAGAGATGTTTATACTGATGATTATTCTTACTTGGGCTCCCCATATTATTCATGCTGATCATAAGCAAAGCCTGTTTTACTCTTGAGATCCATCATGCTAAATGGTACTGAAATTACTTTTATCAATTAACAATCTTAAACACTGTCCCCTCAGGAGAATCAACATTCAAAATGTGCTGGGATGTGAGCAAGCCTCACAGCTCCTTATCCATTCAATGTTCTTGCAGTATGGGTGTCATATTAATATAATGAGTGTTAATATGTTTGAGGAAAATGACCACAGTTAACAAAGATGACAGTTTCTTGGCGAGAAACGTTCACTATTGAACTGCTGTATTCAAATGATATCTAAGGGCCAGACCCTCAACTAGTGAAGAGAACAGTGAGTTTCTACAAAAGAGATCTCCATGATGTACAGAGAGAGGATATTCTTTTTTTTTTCCTGTATCAGGTAGATTGGGCTTCATTCTGGGAAGATCTGAGAAATAGTAATTAAAAAAATTCACTGTATCAGTTTGGCTCCTTGCCTTCCTCAAGGAACTCTTAGAAGCTAATGTCACTGCTCTTCTCTCAGGATTTTCAGGAATTTAAAATATCATTGGCAGTATGTTCCAAGTGAGCAAGATCATCAATGTTCAGTAGTCCCTACAGCCCCTATGCTCAATTCACGGCAAAGGTACTGGCCTCATATTGCAACTGTAGTTGCAATTCCTTGTCTTGGCTCTCTTCTAATCTGACTGCAGAGCATTTAGCTAGCACTCGCCATATATATTCTTAGCATCTCTCTTTTCCTGAGACCTAAGTTTAGTTTCTGCCTTGTAACTCACAGGAGAGTAAATACTTCTCTGTGGCCAAGTACTTAAGGGCTGTAACAGCTCTGTGACAATCTGAATTCCAAAAGTCGTAAGCCAGATGACCTCTCTGGAGTCCTAGCTCTGTAGGCTAGTGTGTTTTGATGATGGACAAAGACTAAACCCACCATCTGTACCAATCCCCTTAAGCATGTGGAACATCTTTCCTCCCATCTGTGTCAACCAGCCTTTGTGTTTCATCCACTCTATGGTGCTGATTAGGAAAAAAATAAAAAATAATAAGATACAGTTAAATGACTAAAGGAGGGCTATGGGACATATTAATAAAAACCTTGTGAAGGCTTCATCCATCTGACTTAATGAAAGCAGTAGCTATAGTTGCTTGTAACTATAAAGCACGTCACGCATCTGGTAGCAAATAATACTGTGAATGTAGGGCTACAATTGCTGTCCTGGGCAAGAGTCACCTCATTGCCCTCAAAGAAAAGGAAAGAGGAGGAACTCCTAGGAAAGAAAGCTCTTGGAAGGCCATTCAATCTGTACTGGTACTATGAACCTTCTTCTCTTTTCCCCTTTATGCTCTGGTTCTTGGATGTGAGCAGTTACAGGAGGCCCAGGAGAAGTTAATGCTGCTTCTGAAAATCAAATCCCAGTGGATTTCTTATCTGAAAGCTGGATAGTCAGCAGGGTTTGACTGAGACTGTATTTGTATTACTGTCAGACCTCTTTAGGAAGTAAAAAGAGCTTTCACGATTCTTAAAGAGAGCAGGAATCTGCAGACGACAGAAAACAAAACTCCTTTGGGTCCCCTAACCTTCTACAGAGAAGCTTGAGAAACATGCCGAGCCTAATTCTGCAGCACTTTCTCTCCTATGTTGTAAGTCAAATCTATCGGAGTGCAAGACGGGCAAGAGGAGAAGTTACACAGACTATTGTCCAGCTTATTTAAGAGCACTGTTATGTTCCCTGTGCACCTGGTGCTTTTCCTGAAGGAGAGCAGCACAGTCAGGTTGTTGGTCTGTGCAGAATGCAATGGCTTTTACCCTATAGATACAGCATGGCTTAGGGTACTGAAATGACACCCTCCAGGCCTGTTTAAGTTATCTGCAAAGCTGCTCAAGACATTTGCATAAAATTTGCAATATACAAACAACCTTTGACAAACTCTCTGTTCTCTGTAATAGATTGTACATTCTTTCTAGTCCCTGTGAAATTGTTTTTGATGTTGAAGAAAAAACACCAGTAAAGCAAACAGCAGTTACAGTATGTCATTTTTTCCCCCAGAGCTGAGCTTTAAATGTCTGCCCAACAATCTTAAACATGAGTTATGAGTATGATAAAACATTTCTCTTATTAAGAGCCCAAATCCATTCCTGGAGTAATTGCAATAGTATTGAACTAGGGATGAATTCTCAGTGTGCTTTCATGTATTCCTGACACACTGCCTGCAATTCTGCTTTTCTGTTTCTTGATGGCTTATTGCAAGAAACTCTCTGTATGCTTGGAGATATCATATAAGCATGTATTATTCTTTTCTCTCTTGGTATTTCAAGCTGTATCATCAAAACCTAAAAGTAGACTCTCTGTTTGCCCCCAAAAAATATAAAATAGCTCATAATGAATAAACAGCATGAGCAAAAGATTTTCTAAACGTGTCACAAACTGACAGGAAAATAAGTGGGTCGGAAGAGTCTGCAGCAATCTGGCACAGTGACTCAGCCCCACTATGTGTTTCTGTGGTCCAGTTACCAGAAGAATGCTCTGAGCGCTGTCATTCCCATAAGATCCACAAGCGAGGTGACAGCATGAGTCACCTCTGCCTTTCACCATCTGGACTGAGGGGGAGCAGGGCAAAGAAACAGAGAGGAGACCTCCCATTCAGCTGTGCCCTGGCAGGTCTTGGAGGCTGTGGAAGATAATGGCAGGCAGGACTTAAAAATGAAACATTCTGTACTGGACACAGAAGTGTTTTGTTTTGTTTCAGTAGAAATTATTCCATAACAACTAGATTTTTCTGTCTTCTTTTCAGCTGAGGAAGAAAACCAAATTCCCTAGTGTAAGACCTAGGTACCATTTAGAGCCATGGATGGGAAAAAAGCAAAAATGATAGTAAAAGGCAGTAGGAAAATCACTAAATGCTCACCTTAACCGTCAGCCAAAGAAAAAGAGATGGCCAACAAGTTTGTTGAATGCTTAAGGTTTGAGAGTAAGAACTATTAATAACAGCTACGTAAGCATCAAATATCTTCTTCATTGATTTCAGGACGAGCAGAGCAGTTCAGCGTGTCTACAGAGCTGCTGCCTTTGCTGAATGACTTTCAAAGCTAGAAATAGATCTGTGTTCCCTCTAGCATATCTGTAAGAGGAGGTCTGATATTCTTTTGTTTCCTGTTATTGCATTAAAGTGCTTGAAGTTAAAAAATGAATGTGGAGTGGTTTTGTTGGTTTCCTTCCCTCTCTTCCAAGAGGGTTTGCAGGCACTTAGGTTATTTTTAGTTCTGTTTTAATATATTCCTGTCCCAGAAGTAAAATGCTTGTAATTGTTAGAGTTTCTGA